CCCGCCCCCAACAACAAAAACCCCACTTTCCCAATGTAAATAAAGTCCCGCAATTAACGAATTAACCCGATGAAACCGTTAAGACTGCTTTAGAATCTGTTTTAGTTTAGTAAGAGATTTTACGGCGCTCGCATCTGCACAAGATCATACCTCGGGTTGTACGCAGTAAACACACACGCACTTACCGACCGCCAGCTAATCAAATGTCTTTAGGTCTAAGCAAAGGATGAGCCTATTTCTACAGCCCATTCCTTATGAAAGTTTTCTAGTAAAATTTTTTTTTTTAACTTTAAAAGAACTCCCGAAAGATGCAGCAGAGAGGGTTCATGCTCTACAAGTCCTGACAGTGGGGTGAAAGCTCATGACATACTTTCTTCCACAGACCCACTAACATGCTGATTTAATCGTCGTTAGGAATGACAACGGCTTCCTTTCAAAACCCACACATACCCAAACATACACATTTACATGTACCTAGGCTTTCCTCTGAACCGAGGAAATTTTAACTTTGAACTCAACCTGTCCTTAGATCTGAGCCCCACCCACGTTTTGATCCAGCCACCGCCACTGGCAATGAAAGTACCCTATTGTTGACTACTATTGTTGTGGCCCAGTTGTGAGGTTATGTAACAATACAGGTGGGCGGAAATGAACAGAACCAACACAAACAAGTCAGAATAGCACCGATAAGCAAATGACTATGATAAAGATATATTATACTCTACTTCTGTAATAGAATGCATTAAAGCGTCCACGACTTTGAAGGGCGATCAAAGAAAGTTTGGAATGATAGGAGTGTCAAAATTAAGATAAAAGGGTAGGCTATCAAACATACAGTTTCAGCTCACTGCTTTTCTCGAGTGAAACATGGACAGCATTTAAGGCTTGCGCTTAGTATTTTACAACTAAATGGAAACACTATTATTACTACGTTGTTCCGTTCTCTGGTCAGCTCGTGACATCAATGATGGACTTTTCATACACCCGAATGAACAGCCTATTCATAATTCGCCTATATCGATGTTTCCAGAGTGAACCGGGTGTGCCAATTAGACTAATGGCATTAATAACATCGTTAGTGTGGAGATAGTCAAACTATTCTTGTGTTGTGTCAATATGCAGTGTTTGCCATTAGCCAGAGAATAGTGTTTAAGTACGATATTGCACACAAATGCCTTAGCTGAAAAAAAACTGTTTTAGGTTTTTACCCCCCCCCCCCCTACCAATTTAGTATTATTCCTCACTACAAACGTCCTTTCGAGGGACAGTGAAACCACCAATCGACACTTGGCATAGAATACTTAGCTTTAGATTCAATCAACAACAAGCGGGGAATAAAACCTCAATGTCTTCACTTGTATCGGTAGAAGTAAAGTTCTTATTAATTCATAATCCCCCCACCCCTCCCCCCCAAAAAAAAAACCACACACAAAAAACCCAACCCATATTAAAAGTGGTCAATAAGCATCCACATAGTGACTTACACTGTCATTACTTAAATCAGATTACTTTTGATACCTATGTAAATTGACAAGGGTTAAACAAAAATGGGGGTGTGTGTGCTCGAGTCCACTCGAGCCCTCGTCAGTACTCACTCGAGTAGTCATTAAATGCTCAGGTACACGTTGTAATCCGGAACCTCCAAGTGCTGGGGCAACTATTACTCGAGTACTTACTAATTCATTCAACAAGGAGTTTAGTAGAAACTAAGATTTTGACGTGTTCATCGTTTTTGTTTGTTGCTACATTGCATTTTCTTACTTTTTAAAAATTCATTTTTAACCGTGCACTATACAATTATCCAAACAATCTTGATATTTTCGTTTTATGTTTTATACCATTCCTGTATTTCCTGTGGCCCAAACTAAATTTACCCCAAACCCCCAAAATGCACCAAAAACCCCCCAAC